GTTTTAATTGTTTATGTAAATTCATGTCAACTTGTGTTTATTTTTATCCAGTTTTTCAATTACAGTTTGTGATAACCAGCAAAGGCTTTCAGAAAAGACAAGAGGCCCATTAATGTTTTAATTAAAACTGCGAGAGGACAGTTTAATCTTGAAAAGTAATTGAAAATTACCGGGTTTTATTAAGCTTGGTTTCGTGCTTCTCCATTATCTGGTTGAAGATGAACATTTATAGATTAACATCACTTTGCTTTTTTGTTTTATTTAATGTATTTTTTGCGAATAAATATAATCTTACAAAATGCTCTGGAAATTAATTGGTTAGTTAAATAAGTAATACTCATCAGTTATAAAACTAGTGGTTATAAGGAATAAATAATATTTTTCAATATGGATTAAATAACTTTAACTCTTTCCATACTTAAATAAATTAAAGTTCAAAGAATTTAAACAGTTTCAGGGTTATATTATTTTATTTCCTTTACCTTTGTAATCAAAGGTCCCTTTTAAAGAGTACTTTGTTAGCAAAGAACTGTGTTGCATTTATTTAACCACATCAATGGGGCTTGAAGCTCCCTTTATGAGCTTTTTACTGTTTATGTTTGACCAAATGTTTATGGGAGAAATTTTTATGTGTCATTAGACAATGTGAATATTTATTAAAGTATTCTTGATTGTGTTTTCTCTAACCAATTTAAATTACTTTAAAGATTTGTTTGTGATTCTTTTTATGATTCCTTTATTAATTTTTTTTTAAATTTTATTTTAGGAGCTGTAAACATAAATGATGTTTGATACAAGTACTTAATGTTGGACATCAGGATATTTTTCTTACAAAACCCCTGTTCCATATTTGAAACTGTAGAAATTGATGAAACTTAAATATTAAAACCACTCCAAAACAGTCCAAGCCAGAATACATTATTCTACAAAGTTACTGAATTGATCTTAAGGAGAAGCATTTTTAAATAACTTTTTAATTTTTTGGCATAATACATTTGAAGAAAAATGTATTTTTATTTTGGAGTGTGGTGTCAAAAAATGGTTACAGTCATAAAATATGCATATTGTAACCATTTTACAAACTTAAATATTTTACTGTAACAGGCCTTCTTAACATTTTAAACACTTTTGTCAAATTTCCATATAAATGTATTAGGTTTGTAAATTACTGGGCAATTATCTGCACCATCCTTGTCTGAAAGTTTTAACAGCAATAATTTACAGAAGGCGAGAATATGAATGATAATAAAGACAAAGTTAGTGTTTGAGACAGGATAAGATTGATGTTGAAACTTGACAAAGTTATGAAGAGTTACACCTATTGCTCAGGAAAGATGTCAACAGAAATTACCTGAGCACTTTGTTGATTCATCTTGAGGGAAATCCAATTATTTTATCACCGTTGTAATTCACTTTATAGGAGAGTAAAATAGTAAATAAATTTATATGTATATTTGAACAACGGTAATCTAATAAAGATATTGTATAACTAGGAAATATTATGATTCTCTCTCTCCTTTATATTATAGTATACTAAATTACAGTTGAAATATTTTAGCCCCTGGAACACAATTGCAAATGAAACATTGAAATAGGTATCAGTAGTTATGTGAGTGAAACTGCTTTTTTTATGTTAGGTAACCTCTAGTTTTAAATGGTTAATTTTCTATCTGATAAAAGAGATTTGTTTAAATACTCATAATCTTTGGAGCTGTGTAGATCTGTCATGGTCATGAATACAAATATCACAGTCAAACCAAAAATCCACTAGTATTATTATAATTTAGCCAATTTTTTCCTGGCAGTGTATTCATGTCTGAGTACAAGTCAATGACTACTCTACCTCTACACAGCTTTGAGGGTGAGGTTTGGTTAGCTTACAATTTGAATTTGTTAGTTTAAAATACAGTCTGGTACAGAAGTATGTTCCTCTTGTCCCTAAAACCCCAGACCTAGCATCTAGTGCTAGTTACACAGCACCAAAATCACAGATATAGGGGTCAAGGTTGTCTTCATAAAATAAATTAACTCCGAAAATGAAATAAAACTTTCCATTTTTCTTAAAAACAACCAAACCCATATATCTGTGATTTTAGTGTTGTGTCACTAGCACTAGATGGTAGGCTTGGGGTAGTAGGGACAAGGAACATACTTCTGTACCAGACTGTATTTTAACCTGCGGCCTCGTGTCAGAGTTCCAAACCCTCACTAGCAACGCTAATGAGAGTCAACCCTTCGGCAAAACCTGTTGGGACTGGAAATTAAAATCTGACCATGTCAGAGAACCAATACGGCCCAGACCGTCATCTTCTGAGCAACAACAGGTCACAACTACTGAACTGATACTGTATTAGTACCAGTGCTCGGAGATGAAAAGTGCTTCATTAACAATTCTGTAATCCCTAAGCCTTCAATTTCAAGCCTAACCTACATTTTCACAACTAGATAAATTATAAAGCTTTACCATAGATAAAACATACTCCCTTAGTAGATTTCTCATCCTAATGGAACAGCTGAAGACAATTTTATTGTTAGTTCTGTACGGTTTATGTAGATGTCGTGTTTTGTTTACAATTTGTTTCCTGTTAATACAGTCATTTAAAACCTCGTTTGACCAAATAATACGATCTAATCATAAACAATAAATTGTCTCCTAGTTATTTAACCAAACAGTAAAGCACAAATCAAGAAATTAACCCTAAAATAATAAAAACAAAATTTCGTCGACACTAGCGCCCAGTGTGGCGTACATGAACTAGACATGAAAAACGAGCTTCAAAATTTACAATGGGATGAGAAGTCTACTTGTGTTGGTTAGTCTATGGCTTTACCAAGTAAAGTTATGATTCAAAACTTTTAAAATCCCAGCCATTTTCTCAGATTTGCTACTAATTTTATCACATAGATCTAAATAAAAAACATAAAAATATTGTTGTATGATTTTATTTTACTGATAGTGACCGCTTCATGCTAGATATAAATTATGCTACAAATGAAATGACACTATGATTGAACTTGGAATAAATTTTCTCTTCGCAACTTTATCAGGTTTGCAAATTAACTTTCTCCACCAATCAGAAAGAAATTGCAGTTCTTTGAAATGTCATTAATGAAAACTGTAATGACAAATTCCCGCTTGATTGGTCTTTCACTGATTGCCGTCTAGATTCAGTAATAAATGCATAGCTTGCCTTACACAATCAGTAAGTCATAATAGATTTCAGATTTGTAAACACGTATACTCACTACAATCAATTACCTAAGGATATAGTAATTTATTTTCCACTTTTATAAATTACTTTTTTTACTTATTCCTTTTTTATGTTTTTTCTTGTGTCCACGGCAGTGTCATATTTATAATTAACCCTCCAAGTGTCTCTAGTTTTGGTCTTAATGTTCGCCCATTTATTGTGCAATCGCAGGGTTTTATTAAAATGTATCTTAGAAACTTAAAAACAATGTAAAGTACCTAAACTGTTTTATATATCATTTTGTTTGGAAAATTATTGGCTTCAATGTAACATATATAACATTAAAAAAAAAATGTTCAAAAATTTTTGTGGGGTTAACATTTCTCAAAAATTATAATATAAATGAAAAACAATTTATGTTTGCGCTCAATAAATTGTTATAGTTTATAGGTCTACAAATATTTTAAAATAGCCACTTTGTTCAGAATTTTATAAGGATTCCAAAAATATAATAATATAAGGAAGTAGGTTTGTAAATAAATAAGTTATGGGCAAAAAACAGATTTCGGTACATAGCTTTTAGCTAAGAATGCATAGCCTAACCATAGCTAGGAATCTGGCTGATAATTTACATCAATATCACTACCTACTTCTTCAGGATCATCAACCAGCCCTTCAAAATTACTTAAATCTTCTTATAATGCACCACGTATATCACTACTTTTGATTTTTAACACTAAAACAATGATAAACGTAATAAAACACATCAGTTATCGGTGCGAAGTTAACCAAGCTGTTTACAAATACGCACGTCAGCTGTCTGCTACAATATTTTCGGAACTAAAATGAAAAGCAGAAACAGACATCAGTTGAAATCTCTGAATCTGCTGAAAAAAACAATATCTAACTCAATCCAGTTCAATCAGATTCAGTCAGTCCCAAAGCCGTCGCCGTAAACAGTATTTGTGAGTCGCAAAAGCGACACATAACACTACAGCGGATGTGTTATGAGTCGCATTTACGAAACATAACACTAAGATAATTCAAAAGCGGTCCAAACCCATTACAGTTTTATAAATGTGTTAGAAATTGAACCCGTCCCTCCCACACCCAAGTCTGATACGCTAACCACTAGGCTAGCAACACACCCTATGTTTTTATGTCCAATTACAAATACAAATACAACAAACACATTACTGAAGCTATTGTGGATAAAGAAAATGCCTCCCTTAAGTATAATGTTAATTCATAGAGGTATAATATTTCCTAATCATTAATTAGAATAAATTGTTTTTACCTTGAGTTTTTTTATCCGATTTCTCAACTACTTCAATGATATTCCAAATTCAACTAATGTATCTTATTTACTTCGCCTCAATAGTTTTTTGTATGACTGTTCGTCACAACCTTTTTTTTAACCAACACAAAGAAATAAGTTTTTCTTCCAAGGAGGAGTGGTCATAGAAAACAAATAACTTAACATTAGAGACACTTGATTAAACACCTCACATAATTTGATTCCCACTAAGTATTTTTTTTAGTTTGCAGCTCTTTTTTACTTCATTTGTATTTAAAAATTACCTAATTCTACCTTATTCTTTATCCCTTAAACCTCAATCGACTGATCTGTACCAATATAAACAAAGAGAAGTCCTGTTATGGTAAAAGTTTAAAATGCTAACCCTGAGATATCATTTGCTAGATACATCGGTCGTAGCAGCTTGGCAATCGCCTACAATTATTTTAATAATTGTTAATATTAAACCATCAACCACAAACAGGCAAAAATCAGAAAAAAACACATTAAATTTCAATTTTAATGTACACAAATTTGCATTACAGTTTTAGTAGAATATAATTAATATCAAACATCATAGTTTCTTTGGAAGAAATATAATACATTTTTAATACATGTCTGATTGTTTACATAGATGATAGTTTAGGTAGGATTCTTCATAAATTTATGATACATTTAGCAGAATATGGATCAACAATAACATATAACTTTTCAAGAAAATATGTTAGTTTTTGTGTTTTTATTAAAGGTCAAGAACCTTAATTAATTCAAGCGGTGACCACTTTAGCTAATGTATAAAACTAATTAATTTTTTTCATCCATACTACTTAAACTACTAAAACAATACTTGAATAAAGCTTGTTTTCAGTTTACTAAATCCAAAATTTAAATGTCAAAAACTACTCATTTATGAATGTAAAATTATGAATATATTGTTAAGTAGCGCAAATAACTTAAGTCTAACTATTTAAAGCTTTTTACAAAAATAAATACTTATTTATCCTTAACAGAGATCCTCATGCCTAACTTACGAACTATTTACAGAATAATAAACTAATAAGAGTAATAAGTAAATAATACAAATGTATCAACTATTCTGGCAAGTAAAGAACTTGGTTCTTAAATAGAGATTTGTTTAAAATCAAGTTATATTTTATATTTGATAAAAACTTTAGTTCGTCTCTTAAGTTGTGTAAATAAAACTTTATTTAATTTGAGAAAACGTAACATGACTGTGGTTAACATCTATAAATTTTTCTAAAACAATATTAAAGGCACTTCAAGATGCTTTTCTGCCTGGAAAAGTTAAAAGGTAATAATGTGTTTAAATTAAAAATAAAAGGGGTTTCTAATGTAGTTTTTAAACATGAAAGTAAATTTTGAATATTGCCTTTTACAATAATACTCAACTCATCTATGTCTAAGGAACTTATTATAAATGGCAAGAATTACTTTGATTGAATAACTTAGTTTCTACTGTATAGTATACATTTTTTATCTCATACTTTAAGGATATACTGCTTTTCATGGTGAATTAAGCAGAACCAAGTTTGTTTTTGGGTCTCTAGGAAAAAACAGGTATACAATAATTTCACATATCAATAACCAAAGCTTTAAAACAACATTTAGGGTTGAGTTAGGTCTTAATAAATCCTGTAAAAATTATCAAACTACTTTACTGTAAAAAATGAGTGAAAACTTTTTTTATTCTAGTGTTCATAAATAAATATTAGTATAACATTTATTTAATTTCGATCAATCCTATTTAACAGAAGACACAAAATTATAGCTCTTAGCATATTTATTTTTTACCAAATGAGTTTTTTTTTCATATTTTAAAAATCTAGTGTATTTTGCCCAACATCTCGTAACATTACTGTTACTTGATCTACAAACTCTAAAATTAAAAGAATAAACTCACCAGGGAATCCTTCAAGTTACACATCAAACCTTTGGTCAGTTATCTATTGAAAGATTAATAATACTTCATTTTAAAATACTAAACTTTTAAAGTCAGTACAGTTTTACAAACTTCTGAAAACTTCTAAAAACAATACTCTTTATTTACAGAATAAACGGCAAGACATATAAAGCTAATACTGAAAAACCAGTCTAACATGTTATCGTTTGTTCAGTTTGTACCACACGGAGTATATGGTAAGGATGTAAAATACCACACCGCACAGTAAAATGTAATTAACATCTAACGCGATGTTGACATTATTAAACTCCATCTCTTTGAGGAACTTTGATGGTGTTTTAAAATGACAGTAGTATTCTTCACATGCCAGGGTGGATCTGTTGAAACCATAAAGGGAGTAGAAAGAACCCTGAAATGAAGCTCTGAAGTAGGAGAGATGGTAGAGGAAGTGGAAGTAGCTCGGGATGTCGGAAAACCGACTGGTAAAGCCAAACACACTGAGAAACACTGTGAGGACTGGGCCGATGAACACTCCGATCTGTAACAAAACATAACATTCAAAATATATAGGATAAACCAACTGGTGAAGCCAAACACACTGAGAAACACTGTGAGGACTGGGCCGATGAACACTCCGATCTGTAACAAAACATAACATTCAACATATATAGGATAAACCAACTGGTAAAGCCAAACACACTGAGAAACACTGTGAGGACTGGGCCGATGAACACTCCGATCTGTAACAAAACATTACATTCATCATATAAAGGATAAACCGGAAGAGTTATTTTTATAAGAACTTGATCTGTTCAGAAACAATTTAAAAATTATAATTAATTTTCAAAAAAATGTTACACCAGATTCACATCAACTGTGTGGTAACTTCTGCAATCGCAGTGATATTTTGAACACTTTCAGCAATCCTGACAATACTGCGGCCAGTTCCTATTTTTAAAAAAGATCACTAATAGTTTCTCACCTAAAATTAAATAAAAATGTTCCAAAATTTCCTAATTCATAAACACTTCCATTCATATTTTATTATGTTTAATGTCTTAAAAAAAAACACCTAGGTATATATGGAGGATGTAACTTAATAATAAATTATGGTATTTGAGATTTGATTGTCAAAACCTGGTGATCAAATCTCAAAGTCAAATCTTTTCTTGGGATTCAATAGATAAGAGATTTTGGATTTAGCTTCGGCTTCAACATATCCCTAATAAAATACTTTTTTGTGGATTGCTACACGATGAGTGCCTTTTTGATGTTTACAGCTTAGGCAATTTCTCATTATTTCACAAACCTGATAACTGTTTTAACCAAATTATCAACTTTTTAATTTACATATTTCCTATTATAGTAAAAAGCAAGTTTAGTAAAATTGACCTTAAAACAAGAATAAACACATCTTATTACACATTTAAATCCCATGACAATAGGCTTCAGACTTAACATAAGGATAAGTACAGAAGTACAACACTTCTGCAACAATCTTTAAGTCAATACTATTACTAATGCTTACCCCGACCGGCAACGTAGCACCAATCATGAAGCCGTATCCCTGCGCTGTCAATGAGATTGCTGCGTTGAATAATAGGAAGTACCCAAATCTCATGCTTTCCATGGGTTGGCCGGTCAGGTAGTAGGCCGGGAACAGGTAGGCACATGCACACAGCAACTGGGCAGACATACAACTGGTATTGCAGCATTATTTTGAAAAACTGAACAAGTTTTTTTTATAATTTCTGTGTTACTTTCTGTGTTAAAATAGGTAGGTCACACATCTAATCAAAGTCTAGGGGTGTGCGATGCATCAAAAATTAATCGAAATTACGATTCCTTGCATTGTATCGCAATTCGATTCAGAGGTGGTCAAAAAACTATTTGATTCATGAGGGAGTTCAATCCGTATAAGAAAAACGCCTGCAGAAAGTCAATGCAATACCCGCAATACAGGAGCGCGTTGTTGTTGCGTTTCCTTCTTGAAGGCGTTCTAATTTAATTAATTCTTTACATGTAAATATTGCTTTAATTGTTTTTTACTTTTTTATTTGGCATTGCAAATGATGAGAGGTTTTGTTAAGTGTAAGCAGTGTGAGACATGTTTTACCACTCTAAACATAGCCAAAACAAGTGACTCCAAAATCAATCAAAAAATAACACGAGCCTGGAAATTTGTTACTTGATACTTAACTAGTAAGATTGATGTTTTAGACTGATAAATTTGGCATTTTTGTAGGTCTGAAGCTATGTATACCTTGTAGTTTGTAGGTCTGATTCTATCCTCTGATTTTATTAATGTATACCAATTGAAAGTTTCAGTATAAATCTTACATGTTTTTATTTGTAAAAACCAAAACATATCTTTGTAAAATCAATATTATAAAATAGGTAACATGCTTAACAAAACAATATGATTCTGCAATTAAAAGTTATGAAATAGGCAAGTAAAGCAGCTCACCGACATTTCAAGCAATATAGGTTCTTCTAATATATGATTGAAAATAAATATTTTTTCACCTAAAATTCAATGAATATGTTAGGCCTAATACCGCATCAACAACAATTTGCATTACACAAATTTAATTTAATATTAATTATTGTTTATTCACTCCATTCACAAGTATGAATAGAAAAATGCAGTATTGCTTCGAATCGAGTTGCATCGAATCAAATTGAAAATCTTTTGAATCAAATCGTTGCTTCGAATCAAATTTTGTTTGCTGCATTTCACACCCCTATCAAAGTCAATTCATTGTTCAACACAGGTAAAAGTTCCAAAGCGTCATTGCTTCATGTGAAAATCTGACTGTTTGAAACAATAACATATGTCACCAGGAATAGGAACACCAGACATTGAAAACAAGTGGCAAAAGCATTGAATTATATGTTTTTTGACATAGTTCTGTTTACCATGGCTAGTCAAACAAAACAAAACCAGCCCAGACACTGGAACGATTGCACAGTAGTTTATAGGTCAAACACACAAACATGTCTGACACAAGATCGTGAAGATTCTTATCATTTGTGAAAAACAGATAGTTCACAATGACTAGGTGTGTAAGTAACCTAATTCATTGTAGTTATTGTAGTCAATTCTGAAGGTGACAAAATAAATCAATTTTTCCCCCAAGACTCTAGTTAATCGAGCTAGTGATAAATGTTTGACCATATTTGAAATAATATAATTTTCTAAGAACCCATTTATGTCGATTTTCTTCTGCTTGCTTTAATTCCTAAAATCATACTTTCTGTTACAAACAATAATACATTCTTAACACGTTCGCGGCGGCATGGGAGCAATCGCTCCCATACGGAACCCTAATGCCATCCTGGTGGGTGCGATCGCTCCCAAGCTGCAATGCAGTACGAAATCATTTTTCTTTAAGCTAGGATTAGAGCTAGAAACTTGAAACCTCGCACAGCACTACTCAATAGTATACTGTATTTTTTGTGGTGTAGGTTGGTAGTAAATTTCCCTGTAAAATCCCCGTCTGGCAATCTCAAAAATGTACTTCTTGTTCCGTCTTTTTCCCTCCATTTGGCAATACAATTCCAATGGGACCGGCTACGTTTCAAGCACTGCTGCTATCTGTGGGTGTTTAGCGAACTACGTCGACTCTAGTTGTAAAGCAGGACATCCTCGCACGTTATTTGCTATACGTCAGACCGAAATTTGAAAGCCAATCACACGCGGCAATCGGGTTTGTTCGACGCTGAGGGCTGCGCCGCACTGGGGATACGCCCGCCATTTGACGTGCCGCCGCGAACGAGTTAATACCTATAAATATAAGGCAATAGCCATTGCAGCCAATGACCAGTCAGTTAGTTTTGTGATGTTTCAGTCTAGGTAGGCGAAACTTTATCAGACTGAGGCTGTTCTAGGACCATGTCCTCTTTAGCCTGCACCATATTGTAGAATTCTTTTTGTCAAAATATTCTATGTTGCCATGTCTTTTGTGTGTATTATGGTTTATTTGATCCTTTTACAAGATAAACTAGTTGCTATTCTTTGTTTCTAATAATTACAAACCTACCATAGAGCATTTTCACTAAACAAGACTATTAAGATAGTACAAACTACACAAATGTATTGCATCAAGAACACAGAGGTGATATAATTACCTGGAAGGGAACTTCAATAAGTACCACTGAGAGGCAGTAAGGAGCCAGTGAATACCATCTGTTGAAGTACTCTCTCAAGAGGATTTTAAACTCCAGTGGAACTGCAAACATTAAAACTTTGGCTCAAAAGTATGAAAATGTCATATTTCTTCAGTACATTACAAAACCTCAATAATCACTAAGAGGCCAAGCAATGACAGGTAGACGCTAAAGAAAAATATAGTAAGGTTTAAGTTTTGTGTTCCAGCTGCCTAGTTTTTCATTCTTAAACCCGTTGCTGTACTCATAAAATCAAATTGAAATTATTTTATTCTAAAGAGAACAATAATTCAGCAAGTACAAAATTTCCTAATCCATACCACAATAAAGTCTGGTTACAAACTCACAATTCAAATGTTACCCTTCAACAAAACTAAAGCTCCTTCGTTATTTAAACGTCATTTCGTAACGTAAACTCGACATCACCAAAAAATGAGTTTAAGCAAATCTACATATACTTTATAATCAGTAAAGATGGGGGACCAAAAATGTAATCAAGCGGATTTAAGTATGAATGAAAAATGAGTGTGGGGTGGGTGACAAGCCTTTAATAGCTTCATTACTTATTGAGATAAGCTCTCTCTTTGAGCAGAGCCATTTTTAAAAGCCTAATGAACATTGATATCGATATCACTGATCCCATAATGGACAGCTGGAGCTGGGTTCAGTTACCAAACATCAAAGTACAACTGAAGTTTTGTACCAGCGACATTTTTACTGTTGAGAAATTACTATAACAAGATAGATAATCAAGTTTGATTACATTTAATTCTTAGATAAAACTTAAAGAAAGAATAAAATTGAAGACAAATAGAAGAAAATATATTTTAGGATTTTTTTTTTTAAATAAAACCCCTTCTAACCGTACTCCTTTAACCAAACCAGGGTTAACTGAAAATATTATAAAAAATGCAATTAATTGGTAAACGAACTAGGAGGGTTGATTGTTTGCTGTGGCTAAAGTAACTAATTTTTTTGTCCTAGGACACTAGGAACTGGCCCGTTTTCCACATTACTTCAGGCTAGACCTAGGGGTTGTTGCATTAGCACTTAGGTAAAATCCTTAGAAGATGATTTGGCAGAATTTGAACCCAGAACCTGAGGGACCGAAATCCCATGCTCTACCACTAGACCAGCTCGCTCCAAGTAACGAAAACAAAAAAGATAAAGTTCAGAACAAATGTTCATTATTTTAAGTAATAGATTTTGCGTATATAGTTGTACATTTTAGGATGACAGTAATAAAATAACAAAACCTATACTGATGTAGATTTCTTTGAATAGACGTAGCAGTTAAATTCTAACCACTTATTAACCAATCAAATATTTATTTTGGTTAGTCGGGGTTTTATTGTAGGTATATATTTGTTCTTTTTTCTACACAAGTATTGTAACACAGACTCACTTTTGAGGAACAGCAATCCAATCTTAAAGAGTAAATGTAAGCCTGTCCATAAAACTCATTCCAGCCCCATAAATAATCCACTCCAAAAAATTAAACAAACCTACTAATGTGTAGGACTTACAAGCTAAGCTGACGGCCATTTGACCAGTGTAATGGAGAAACAGGTTGCTGCCGTAGACGAAGATGTAGTTCGCCATCAGTGTACTTGCGCTCTCCCCGACATCACGGTACAAGTAGCCGAAGAGCAGAGCAATCAGAATGTGCATCACGAACCTCAGAGCAAACGACCCCTGGGAGAAACCAGTCACAATGACATACTGTAGTTAATGTAGTCAAGTTTACCATGTTAATTTTCCAGTAAATATTGGGTAAACGAGGGGCCAATTTAAACAAGGTGCTGCAGTTATATTAGTTTATAATAGTTATTTTAATAGCGCTTTTATAGTGTGACTCAATGTTCCCTAAAAGGGTTACCGGTATTTATTTACAGTAATATTGCTGGATTCCCTCTAACAAAGTAGGATTCACCCGGCAGGGTTGGTACAAGCACAAATGAGATCAACTTGTATTCATTTCTCAATAACAAGAATATATCTTACACCAACCTCTTCTCAATACTAGCTGATTACACACTTTAAAGTCTCAATGTAAATAGTGAATAATCGATCCATCAAATAAACACCCCTTAGTAATCGTTTACAGCTTGTTATCACTTCTATTGCTAATAATCCATTGCTCTAAAAGCTAGTAGTAGTGAATTAATCAAAAGGTCCTCAATTTTGAAAAACCTTTTAATTTAAGCTTTAACTTTATACGTCATTTTGATAGTTATGAAAAAAGTAATAGCTTTTGCTATGTTTTACTAAATACACAACGGTACTTAAAAATAATTTTGGTAATCTCCAGAAGATTCTAAACTGAAATAAAAAGCATCATTCCTGATTTCATGAAGAGCAGTATGAAAACCCATAGCAGATTACAGCACTGCCAACATTTCTTTCCTTTTGATACAAAAATTACTAGAAAGTAAATTCGGCCATGCAGTACAGGTTAGGTGTAACAGTAAATAAAGTTATACTCAGTTTGTTATTCGTGAATTTTATATACAGTAGAACCTCGCTAATCCGACCTCTGATGGTCCGACTCCTCACTTGGTACGACCGTACCGCCAACACAATAGGCTTCTGCTAGCATAACCTCATTGTCCAAGAAAAATATCCAGAAAACTTTATAAATTGTGTTTTTTTTTAATCTAATGTGTTGAAATTTGTTATATATTTAACCATGTCTGCCCATTATTAATATTAAGTACTTCCAAGAACTGTTGAGTTTTATCACTTTTATTTCTTTACGACTTTTCCCAATTCTATTTTATCATAAAAATAATAGTTTTATGATGACTGTTAAATGGTATCTCTAACTCAGTCAGTATTTTCGTGAATATTCAATTTGCTGCTGGCCATTGCCTACTGCCATAAAACTGTTTATGGCTACATACTAAACTTGTAACTAATCTACAATCTTATTTTATAAGTTAAAATATTTGTTATAGATATTTTATCTTTCTATTGACAAAACCACAAGCATAGTTGTTGTTTGCATATTTTTTTTTCGTTATTCAAGCCTACTCTGTCTCAAATTATGTCATTGCATGTTCTGTATCTTGTCTTATATTGTTAGATGTGGCTGTTTAAGGCTTAAATGTTTTTTAGTTTCCTGTATTTTTTATTTTGTTGAAGGTACTTTATGCAATCTAAATATTATGAACCAGATAGTGATTTTGCTACCCTCATTGTGGCCTAATCAATTATATAGACCCTCTTAAATAATTAGGTCTAGACCTGGGTCTTTTGATTCTTTGGGAGAGCTTTAAAATGTACTAAGAAAATTGTATTGAGCCTGAGATAAACTAATGATTGATATGATATGATTGATATTATGGATGTTAACTTTGTAAATGAAAAGACAATAATCTTACTCTGTGATAATCCAAATTTTAGTTTAAAAAAAAAAACTTTGCAAACGTTGTATCCATCTTATAACTAGTTCTGAAGCTGATAAAAAATATGCTCTTTGCCACTTCATCATATCCTCCAGTTTTTCATTGCCGTCTGCTGTGAACAGCTGGCAACTACACTCTTATCATACTGAATGCTTTTATATGTTTTTAAAAATTAAAAAAAAAACTAGACATTGTGTTGGTTGGAAATAATTTACCAGTTGCATGAAAGTATCTTGTCAATAAATGTTTCAAACATGTTTATTCCTAAAAACTCTTATCCTATTTTTAAAACCACTTTTATCATAGCTATTCAAAGTATCTCAGAGTAAAATAGGTAAAGCCTTTATCTTAACTGTGATTTTTCTTGACACAATCCTCGTAGTAGTAAAAGGTTACAGTAACTGGGGTACAGTAACTGTTATTAGAAAACCATGAATGTAGGATACTATCCATTTTCATAGTAATGTCAATGTATTAAAGTAAAAAATAATGGTTTAAATACAGTTCTGAGCAGAAAACCGCAAAAATACGGGTAGCCACGTACCGTACCGATTTTGTACTGAAAACCGAGGTACAAAATATTGTACCGTACCGAACCGTACCGACCTTAAATTTTCTGTACCGCAGACCCCTACAAAAATTAAATGGAAGCAAAACAAAGGAATGCCGATCAAAGCTTCAAGGTCAAGCTATCCGTTTGCACTGACAATCGTCTGCTCCTTAGGCCTACACACGACATCTGTCTGCTGTACGCTTGCTATGTCACAACATTTTGTGATTGGGTATTTGGTAATCATGACAGCTTTAGTAGCCTGTGATTGGGTGATTAGTAACCATGGCAACTTCTTGAATGGGTGGATGAAGAGAAACTTAACAAAGAATAGAAAAACAAAGAGAAAGAATAAGCGATGTTTTTATGTCATTGTTATCTTTATTTGTGTATTTTACAACTGTTGTTATGCTATAAGTAGGCTACTATTATTTCATACTTTTTTATGCGTTATCTAATGTTTTATCGACATTTTCTGTCCTGAAACAGCGTAGCAGTAGCCTACTAGACTGTCTAATGTTCTGTTCTTTATTTTGCTGTACAATGTTTGGCAATTTGTTTGTTTGAGTAAAAGTTTGAAAAAGCTGTGATTTTAAAAGTTACAGTTTATATTACTGAACCAAGGGTAATGACATAACATAATTATCATGATTGCGCAATAGCCTACTTGTATTTTTATGATGTAATATGCAAATTATTACATTAACGTCCATTTAGTTTATGAGTTGGAAATACAGTAGACCCCCTCTTAACCGACCCTAATGGGACCGGACCTAGGTCGGATAATTCAAAAGGTCGGATAAAACGGGCAATCCCTAAAATCATAACATAATGAAGTGCTATTCATTTAGAATTATATAATCATTATTTTGAAGTCATACTTGCATTATTTATAAAATAAACTACTCTTATCTCCTTTTTCATATTGATAGAAATGTCACAAATAAACACAAAACACGGTTAAGTCAAATAGGCCTACTTTCAAAAAATATATTATAATACTAGGCAAGAGTCAATAAAATTCCTTTTTTAATAACTTTACTACTGTAGTGTATTAATTAATGCTTTCCAAATACATCGTAATACAGTACAGAACCTTTTGTCGTCATTAAAGATACAAGCGACAATTTTGTTACAAGACAGGACGTTTATTTAAGGCCACTCACTGGAGGTTCGAGGCACAAAAACTATCTTGACCTTGGAGTTGTTAACACCCCTTCCCTGCCCTCCCTACAAGTTGCATTGTTTGTTTACTCCAGCGAATCCAATCAGTTATATCAGCGAATAATCAGTTCTCAAAATCGTAACGCACTTTATGATGTTATAAATTTGCCGCACAGATAACATATCTGATCAGATGTGCTCGAGCTACGAACGATGATGACAAACTGACAATAGGCTATGCTATATTTTTTGTGATCAACACAAAATAACTTATTGTTAGTCATATCCTGTGGAGATAAGCGTATGGTTCAGTTCTCATTGCCCAGCGTGGGAGCGGAAATGCCGAGATTCCTAGAAAGCGGCGGTTAAACCGAGCTGCTCTCAAAGCAAGGTCGGTTAAAACAAACTGTATTATTTTACGATCAAAGGCGGATAATCCGATTATCGGTTAATACGAGGTCGGTTAAGAGGGGGTCTACTGTAACTGTTTCATGTCATGTTGGATTAACCGTGGTTATCATTTATCACTGGTCTGTTCAAAATACAGTTTTACTACATTTTTAAGTCAATAAACGCGTTCCTCTGATAATCCGACCTTTTTCTGTTCCGACCATGCCCCCGGTCCCATAGGTGACGGATTAGCAAGGTTCTACTGTATGAGCAAATGTGTGAATCGGTATTGCAAATAGCTAGAACTGTCTGTCCAGGGCATATCTTCAATAACAAATGTTTCCAAATTTCCGTATAGCATTCATTCTGTTTCACCATCAAGTTCCAATTTTCCAAAGATGTGGTTTCTTATGATCAGATAGTAATGTATGTATACCAGGCTGCGACGCAGTATGATGATGTTCCTAGCGTACAGATGATAGCTCTGAGCCCACAGAGGAGCCGGTTCTGGTTGACAAGAGCTGTACTCTATCATCTCAGCAGCTGTTCGCTTACCAGACTTGAGCACACGGAAAGGCAATCCTGTTGACAATAAATAATCAATCATTTATGTACTTTAGTGAATATCTTATGAATATCACATTTAATGGTCTGAAATATGAAAACCAGCTTGAGAATTGAGATTTCTATTTACTTTAAGAGCACAAGGTGAGTTAGAGTATGAATTAAAATATCAGAATTCGGGGCTAGTGTTAGTTTATCTTAAGAGTGAGAAAAGGCAAAGCAAGTTTAGGATGGTTCTGACATGCAAGAGAAAATTTGTAAGAAAATAGAGACCAAAGGGCAGATACCCGTTCTATCTGTTGTAACTTTATAAAACCGCAGTGAATAACAATAAAACCGACATTTTGGCAAATGTCGTCCACTTCAGTACTTATAGAAATATAGGCTCCCAAATAGTTGACATTTTGCAGCTTGTTACTTGACATTCATAAAAATAACTTTCTGAATTTCCTTTTATTAAGTACTTCAATGTGGCATTATTAAGTACTTTACTGGAGTGGCATGAATACAGTTCTTTTCACAGAAATCAAAAATAATTGTGACTGAACTCAGTGACTTAGTTGCAGAAAAATAGAGTCTAAACATTCTTGGTGTTGTACGTGAAACTAAATAAATAGCAAAACTAACCCGCAGTAAAAACATACTGTAACTTGTTTTACCAACAGGACACATTTATCTGGTATTTAGTTGTTAAAACATTAGATAGCTTTGTCTACATTAATCACAAACATACCATTCTCTTGTGAGGGAACTTCAGTCTCATTGACAGAAGGGTTGGAGTTATCTTGGGCTGCTGCTTTTACCAGGTATGAAATATCTTTTCCATATTCTCCCACGGCTACTTCAATCACTGTCAACAGTTAAACCAACAATATATAACTGGCATACTTCAAATTAAATGAAGTTGTCATAGTAGAAATCAACACGGTTATCAGGATGATGGTTTAAAATCACATTATCAGCAGTTTATTTAGATGAACTGAAAATGATAAATATTTAGGTAACTTTAAATGGTATGGTAATTTGTTTATCAGAAAAACTCTTCTTTAGATTGAACGAGACTTAAAGTTTATAAGTATACAAAACCCTTTTGTTGTAAACGTGTCTTGTTTACACAATATCTCTAAACAATATACTGAAAACTTCTCTATGGATTTCATTAATTTGTTACAGTCAGGTGCGTTGAAAAAGGTTTGGACTTAGTAAACCCGGAAAAGTATGAATGCTAATAGGTCACACGTACATTTAATGTTATTTAATATAAATTTGTGTTTATTATTTTTAAATACATTTATAAGTTATCATGGACTAACTAAGGATTGAAATTAAATCAAGGTTCAACAAAGACAACATATTTTCTTCTAGTTTAACTTTATCACAGGAAGAAATAATTAAACACTTCATTACACAATCAAGTAATTAATGTATTTTTCCGCCTTAAACAAGTTGATCTAACTATATTCATCTCTAATGACAAAAAATAACACAATAAAACAAAATTGGACAAAAACATTCATGATAAATTTTCCGCATGAATTTGAGGTGTGAAAATGATACCACAATGCTCTAACAAGTAAATGTTATAATAAAATATTTGTATTTGTAGTCTCAAACACTTTAGCATGCTGTTACATTTTAAAACTTATATGAAAAACATAGAAAATTACTGAAGAATCAAGATTAAAGTTGTGTTAGTTAATGACAATAGTAAACTCAAGAGGTAAAACAAAGAAGTGTTCATCAAGTAACTCTTGCAAAGTTTGTGAAAAGTGTAAATTAGACTTGACATCACCGAGTGCTAGTCTGTGTCTATTTTAATATTTCAATTGATTAGTAAAACTTCTTTGATTAAATTTTAGTTCTAAATTGCAGTGATATGTTCAAGCTTGCTATTTTTTATTACCCATAGGAAGTAACGAGCAAGTACTGGGAAATTGAATGACAAAAACACTAGCGTACATCTGTAGGAAAATGCAAGGTTACTTGATATACACAATTAATTAGTTATAAAATATATTTTCTAAAACAAATCACCAATCCCAGCATGCAATGAAGACATACATACCAGATGAAAAGGCATGGATCTAAAATGGCACACACAACACAAACCCACAAAGAGTCATCCAAAAGTGAACTGATACCTGCAATTGTCTTCAGAGATGAGTACGCAGATATGATATGAGTAAAACCAGCCTAATACTAAGTCTTACAGGTAATTAAATATGCATGTAATAGCTAAGCATTATGGAAATTTATGTTGGTCACAAAAAAATTGGGCTTTAAAAAAAACTTATTTAAGTCTAAGTGTACAACTATACAATGAATGTAATATTGCAGTACAGTAGAGTTAGACAAGAACATTACAATAATAATACTGTGTTTTCACAGATGATTTTTAAAACTATCTCCGTTTACGGCAGTAATGAAATAAAATACTCGTACACATCAGGGGGAACTAAAATATCCAAACGAGTCCATCTTGAAACTAGACAAGAATAGATTAAAAGTAAAATTATTATCAAGAACAAATCCAAAACAACTGAACAACTGACAAAGGCTCAAACATTAGCTAATTTGAAGGTATACAAGATGAAATTTCTTGTTTGAATGTGTCATAGTTACAGTCTAAGAGCATTAGGGAAATTAAGAAAGTGGAGTTTTTGAATTTGCACTCTACATTCTTAATTTTCCTCATATGTTTGACATGTGTCATGTGTGTTTTAAACCTTCCAGCCCTAGACCAATAAACCACAGTAGCGTGGTTACTAGTCTAGCAATTTTTAATTCTTCATTAATTTTTTTGTTTTGTTATTTAATTTAAAAAAATAATAATGAGCACACTACAAATATCAGATTTTCTTACACTTAAAGTTTTGCATAATTGTCTCTGCCATGCTTGTGTAAAGACTGTTAAGTTATTCAAACCTTGGAGTCACTTTGGAAACACATTTTTAGCTTGATTTATTGATTATCCATTTCTTCTCATAAGTATTCCAGTTTCCAGTTTCACCATGTACACTGTCCAGTCCAAAATCCAGGAACTGTCTTTGTACTTGTCATGACAAATATTCACATCACAGTCATGATCAGCGATTCATACATTTGGAAATAATAACATATTATGACACACAACTTAGATTAACCGGTAAAGCATTATAAGTAGACTTATATTCCACAAATGGCATGTAAAAATATTATCTATATAGCAGACTTCCTCAAGTTGGGATACCATGGGATTAGAACTTTTTTGCCAAACTAAAAAAGTCTGAAAAATTAAAAGTTAATACAAAAGAATTGAAATACCTTAAAAACACTCAATAAGTGTACAAAATTAGGCATTAAATACAAAACCAAAGCCCAAACCATAATTATCTAAAAAAGAGGGAGTCTACTACTGTAATATTTTTATTGTACTTAATACTTGAACACCATTTGGACAACTCATATTCCTTGTAACATATTTAACCAAGTGTTGTGCATAATATTACATTGAGAGGATGTATTTTGACAGACCATGCAGTTTAAAAAGCCATAGAATCTCAAAACAAAAAAAAATGAAACAGAAAAATATATTATTTTAATGGTACATAAAGAGAGAGGTTTAGCTATCATTTTCCCTCATACTTTAAAAGGATTTTTAAAAGTGATGAGTTTCTATTCTTAAACGATTAAAACTAAATGTGGAATCTAAAAATGTGAGTTATTATAATAGGTAAGGTTTTGTAGGAAATAAGAAAATTTAAAATAAATTTTGAGATCAAGGGAAACATTTTGTGAAGCTTGAGGATTGCAAAGTTACGTGAGAAAAAGCAGCCGGAAAGTGTATCTTTAAAAAATCTGAAGCGGGATATGCTTGTAACAGGATCTCAAGTGAAAATGTGTGCAGAGGTTTAACTCATTGTTTTATTTAAGAGATTTAAAAACTGAGAAAAAGTATTTCACTGTTATCTAGTGAAACCAACAACAAAACTGGTTGTAACATAAACTGGTGCTGTGGTGGTGGATGAAGGTATAAACAAGGTTTAACTAGGCCTACATTTACACCTCAGTAAAGATTTGGCCTAAAACTGTAAAATTAAAATGGTTGAGATTCCAAGGTAGATAAAAAAGAAACCAGACATGCCAAGAAGGAAACAAGAAACAAACTTGATCGAAAATCACAAGCACAAGACTCACGAAAGTCGGCTGGGTTGTGACTCCTGGGGCAGACGAGACCGTGGGAGGCAAAGCGGGGCACGAGTTGAGATACAGGACCTTGGTACAAGCACCGTCCCCCTGCTACTGCATACAGGTGGTCAAACTTCTCAAATACCAGGGCACTGGGCTGGTGAATGGTGCAGACGACGGTGCGTCCCTCTCTGGCTAGGTCTCTCAACAGCTGGACACATGAGGATGTAGAACTGCTGTCTAGCCCTCTGTAACAATAAGAACTACATCAAGCTTGACCATTCATAGTGATGTTGTCTGACAATATCTATGGTCAAAGATAGTGTCAATAAGGAAGATGTGTGGAAGGAATGGTGGAAATGGAAAGGCTACCAACAACAATACAAATCACATCAATAGACAGACGCTTAAAGTATTGCATCAAATTAACAGCAGTTAGCTGTTGAGATGAATGTACATAACAAAAGCAATGGTGGTACGGGAAGAGTTATTGTAGAAGCGCATCCCACTTGACAGTCCAATTGACACGGTCTACAATAACTTGTCTTAAGCTCTATAATAAACACATGACTATTGTTGTTTCAAAAGCCTTGATTTTCACCATCAGACAAACTCTAAGAAGTTTATTTTTATTTTCATGTCTTTTGTAATTTTTTTACATACATACACCCAAAACACACAAAGAGCTTTTCACAAGGTCTATTGGCCATTAGGTAAATGCCAACTCTTAGACTTATATTGATTAAATGGTTTAAGTTCTTAAGAAAAAGCAATTTTTTGCTTAACCTTGCCAAAAACCGTTTTTCTTTTCCTGTTTTTTTTTTGTGTTAACAATGTTAGTTTACCAGATTTTCTCTTACTGTGCATAAGACATTCTCAAGGGGTGGTCCGAGACTAAGGACTGGACAATGGCCTAGCCTTAGCCATAGCTTAGCCACTGAGAATGTGTCTCCACAGTAAAAGCAACAACTAGCAGTGGATTTGAACTGACCATGCTATTGAAACCAACATAAATTTATGGATTCAGACACTGTCCTTAAAAAAGCCCTTTAGAACACAGCAGTTTTAAAGCTTAAACTGACATACGAGGGCTTAGCTCAATACGAGGGCAATTCAGAAAGAATGGAAAGTTTCCATCTGACGCAGACAGGCATGCGCTGATCAACCAATTTCTGGTACAGACATGTTCACATCCTAAATGACTATCCAGATTTATCAGCAGAAGAGGCGTTGTACAAGACACTTGCAGAAGTCAAATCAAATGAAATCAAAGTATCTTTAATTTCGTATAAAGTGTGGTCTCAAAAAAGTAAGCTGCAATTCAAAATCCCACTAGCTGTAAGATGCGGTATGAATTACAGTTTTGTTGGCCCTAAACTTAAAACCTAGAGGAATTTACTGTCAATTGTGGGAAGTGTATGGAAACAACATAATAAATTAAAGTTATGTCTATAAATGGTGCAGTCGGTTCAAAAATGGCTGAACAGTAGGTGTCCTCACCTCACACGGAAAATCACACACAAGATCTCCTTTATCTATTCAAAACAGAGATTTTCCAAAAACCAAGTACATTCCTTCGAGTGACTTTCACATCTTTCCCAAAATAAAGACTCGGTTGGAGTACATTGATTTCATAATGACGAGGAGCTCCAAATGTGTGTCACCGAGTGGCTGAGATCTCTGGTGGCAGAATTACACGACAAAGGAATTCCAAAGGTCCCTCTACCTTATAGGGCAATAAGTTTACCAACGTACATGATCTTGAATGATACTTCTAAATTATACCCTGTATTTGGGAACATTGTGCTAAAACAGTGCTTTTAAATTACCAAACTATCCTTGAGTATTTCTTGTGAAACAACAATTGTTAAAATGATACACACGATCTATAAACATATGACAGTAGTAGTAGATGATATTTTAAAACATCGTTAATATATTAAATGTAGGCTCTGATTGGTATTTGCTTATTTGCTGGTATTTGATTAGGATTGAAAATAATACTTACGTAGTAGGTTCATCGAGGAATATAAGCGGTGGGTTTGTAATTAGTTCTAAAGCTATTGACAGTCTTCTTTTCTGGCCTCCTGAGAGTCTTCCGGTTAGAGTCTTCTTCTGATTGGACAATCCCAACATAGACAGCAGCTCTGTTATCTGGTGGACAAAACTTAGTTGTTAGTTTTTGTTTTAATAACTAAAATAGTTTGTAGGTAGTGGTAACTTATGTAGGAAAACTTCTGCTAAGCTTACATACCTACGCCGATGGATTTAAGTTCTACGCCTCATCCTATCAGTAGAAAAATAGTCCATCATTTTTAAACTGTCTAAGTTTAATTTTTCTTTTGTTTAAACTTAACAGATAGTACATAAACAATAAATTATCACAACAGCTTATAGAATCAAAGAGCAAATGGGAGAAATAGGAATGCTAAAATGTGCTGATCAGAAGCAGAAGAAAGTTTAATAAACAATAGCAGTTAAAGAGGAAAACATTGCTGGGCAGGTATAACTACACAGCACCCATTGACAAAGGAAGGAGTTAACTAATGTTTTCCTACAGAAAGGATAAATACCAGAAAGTATATGGTAGAAAACCGCTGGAGTCTAGTAGGCAACTGGCATATACATAGCAAATTTTGTTTTCAAGCAGCAAAACTGCAATGTACAATGAGGGTTTTACTAGATGTACAACTACTGGTAATGTGCTCGATGGCTGAAATTGTATGGTGTTTCAAACAAAAAATAGCTGGTTCAACCATCATAAAATCATTAACTTTATGATGGTTTGGCCCAGTTGTACTTGTTCAGTGATATGTGGACTTGGATTAAAGACTTAGCTGATTTTAGTCTGTAACAACGCTTGCATGAATCATATCGCTCCATTCTAAACTCAACCCTTCATTCAAATTTACTATTATATGTATTATTTTATTGAGTTGCTGTCTTACCTGTTGACACTTGGCCACATTGGACACACTGTAGCCCAGCTTGAGGTGAGCTGCCATCATCATGGCCTCCTCCACGGACAGTAGAGGCCTCAACTCATCATCTTGTTGTATGTAACAGGACACTCTCAGGTAGTGTTTGATGTTGACATCACTTCTGTCCTGCCCGTTCACCATCACAGAACCGGTGCTGCCTTCCATCCTGACAACAATAGCACCTTATAAACTAGATGCACGAAAAACTTTATTTTACCACACATCGTCATTTTGGTCTCGCTGCTTAATCTTATACAATAAAGTTCAAACAATACTAATTTATATTTTTATTTTATTTGTCTTATTATGTTACAACCAATTTATCCACTCTTAGATTTATTCAGCCTTGAAGAACTATTAGCCTTATTAGAAGATTATGCTAGACTATTTAGCTTATCTAACTGAGACAAATGTTAAAATAATCTTCGTTCAAGGTAAATAAAATAAAATACTGAATTTTATTCTTGAAATAGACGCCCTACAACACATGGGGATAGTGTTGAGAATGATGTGGTTCAATGGAGAACCGTTTCATACAGTGCCAGATTTACTAGTAGGGCCGACTTGTCCGTAAGCAAAGAGTAGCTGCAGCCTTTTAAACAAAAATGTAATAACGAGCCAAATTTGGGAGTGACGATAATGATGTCTCTGTGACCGCTGGAAACATTTAAGATTTTTCAGTGATCTCAGGTAATAATAATGACTTCTCAGGGTCCTGAAGGCCGTGACTACGGGAGATATTCATAAGTTAGTCACAATCGCGAGGAAGCTATGCTTAAGGGTCGGGAGCCACTCACTCAGATAATTTGGCCAAGAACTGCAAGTACCCTAATCCCGATTTCATGCACATAACAATGCTGGATACCTGGGATCGAATTTTACTCTGATATTTACAAGTGCAAAGAAACTAATGAATATTTTTAACCAAGAGTATCCAAACTACCCCACACATCTATATATAGAAAAGGCAAAGCCCTCACTGACTCACTCACTCACTCATCACTAATTCTCTTACTTCCCATTTACCTAGGAGGCTGAAATTTGGTACACTGATTCTTTAGGCATTAAATAGGAAAACTAAGTTATTTTTATCCTGATCAGACTCTTGGGCTCCGCCCCAGTGGCTCTGGAGTTTCCCATGTTAACCTTGTGAGTAGGCCTACTCGTATTTAAATGGAATTAATTAATCTTAACAGCTGTTTCAATTAAACAAGTTGGTTCTGTTCTATGATGTTCAATAGCATTAAAGTTACAAGGATTACCAACAGGGTGCAGTACTATTATTTTTCTTAATTTATGACAACAGCTAATTTGCAACCAAAAGGTGAGTGAGCATAGCGAACGAACTTCAACCCGGAGGCGAGTTAGCGTAGGGAACAAGCTAATCTGAAGGCAAGTGAGCGCAGCGAACGAGCTCCAACCTAAAGGTGAGTGAGCGTACCGAACGAACTTCAACCAGGACGTGATTGAGCCATGCGAACGAGCTCACTTATGAAGTTAAACGGGGCAAAGCCCGCGGGTACAGCTAAGTAAGAGATAAGTGTGGGATAGGTGTATTGCTCTGTGTGCCTTACAACTGGCCAAGACCTGCTGATTTTTTTGTCAGAATCAATTAGGTCGTTAGGAAAAGCCTTAGGTTTTAAAACAGTTTGAAACTAAATTTTGCTATCAATAATCACTTCATAAATTATCAATCCCAAATAAAACATCCTTTGGCCTTAGTCAATCAATTATCCAACCATGCATCAGACAATGTGCACATCATTCTAGAGTTAATTCGGGGCTTTTATAGTTTAGAATTAGTTTGGCTCACTTGATTTGGTTTGAATACTGATCTTAGAGTGTTCAATTCTCAGAATCAAAAATATTTATAATATTTTTATCTAAAATTATAAATGCCAATATAAGGCGGAGATACTGACGTGAAGGCAGCTAGGATGTTGAGCAGTGTGCTCTTGCCAGCTCCTGATGGACCCATGATAGCAGTTAACTCCCCACTACGGAATTCTCCACTGACTCCATGTAGAATCTGCTTCTTGACTGGAACAAATTAATGCCTTATTAGAGTGAAATCACTCGTACCGTAACCCAAACCATTCAACTGTTCCTTTTAGGTGGACCTCTCCCACCAAGCCTCTGAGTACAGTCAGAGATGAACTCTTCTTGAGGAGTACAACTAAAAGACTCAACTATGATGGGAATCCAACCCTTTATCTACAGCATTGTCTCCTGACTAGAAAGGGACACCTCTTGGACATTGATTAGACCTAACAGTCTACCACACTATCAATGCTGGGAAACCCAACTTCTAGCATGTTGGTTAGTTATAAGCTTATCCTCTTCTACCTATTTTTTTAAGTGTTTGACGGAGGATTATTGCATCAAAATTATGTGCAAGCTCTAATGTTATATTAGCTTCTAATCATTCAATACATTCCGACCAATTATTATGTGGCAATGTTTGTGTTAGATTAAACTAAATTAAAAACCCTAACATTTGATGTATGTGAACATTAAATTTTTCAAATTCACTGCCCCGGAAAACACAGACACAAAGGCCTGTAACTGATACAATGTTATCAGATCAGTCCCTATCGGTTTTATAATTTCCTGCTTATGCCATCATTTCCTCTCAGTGTAGCAAGTAGCAACTGATAACACAACATTCTGCTGAATGCACACAATTATTAGTAAAATTATTTGAAAACTGCACATTAGAACCACATTAGAATAATTGCCATAGAACATTGTTATGGAATAAAATATTTTGTCTGTAAATATCAACCAAAATGCAGCTTTTAGAGTAAAACCACGTAGATTTCTATTAAAATATCAGCAAAGAACGAATAAAAACACATCATAGGTCCTCACAAACAAAAAAGGCGGGTTTTCCATAGTTTCTGAATATGGCCGTGTTTTCAGCACTAACTGAATAGGCTACAAGAGGGTCAAGATAGACGTTTTCCTAGCGGCTGAATTTGACAAGGAAAACTTAGTGCCTAAAAGACCCGCACAACATTCACAATCTCAAAACCACCTTTGGCTGCTGAAATATGCGGTAAGGATAACCCTGAACATGGGTTCTGAAAAAAAGCCATCTAAAATAAGGATTATTCACAGAATACTTCATGTAACATCAAAATGGTTATGCTACCATTACTAACTAAATGTATTATACTTCTTTTTAATAAGAAGAAGAAACAAGTTTGGGGATGTAGAAGAAGTGAATTGCAATTAATTGTAAATTGATAATATAATTGACTGGGACGGGTGGCGTCGTCCTGTAATCCAACTACTAGGAGGTCACGAATTGTGGATATTTATAGGCATGCACTGTGGATGCAATACTCCCTGGTGTGGATTTACGTCCGCACGGGTGAGTACTACGACTATCCGCAGTACTATCCTGATAATTAGACCAATTCGTGTATACCAAGGAAAAAAAGTGGTTCGGATTCCACTATAAACTATAGGTCCCTTAGTCGCCATTAGCTGTATGGGCTATTAATTAACAGCTGTGTCTAAGGAATATGTCGACCTTAGTCACTAACAAGACTACAAGATCGCGCCACTCATCATACACTCATCTCTATTCATACTTGGCTTAAAATACCTACTTTGTATGGTCACCATTTCAAAGAAAAGTATAAAGTATAAGTAAGTAAACATCAATGTACAAAGATTCACTAAGCAACTGCATCTGTGGTACGCCCTTTAAGCTTTATATAGCTGATTCGGATCAAGAAATTAACAGAAAACTTACTCTCCAATGTGAGAATGAAAAGCAATCTGTGTTTATATCCAATCCTATTGTAGAGAATATCTTTATCAATGCAAAACTTTGATATCATGCAAAAAATGTCTGATTGAATTAGATTAAGTTTGGTTGGATTTGACTATGTACATTTGTATACACTAGAGTCTGCTACACATAAACAATGTGCAGTCATTTAGAAAGTGTGACAAAATGAACACAAGGAAAACTTGATGAAAAGACAATAATATATAAGTAGGCCTACACTAAATTTAAGTAAAAATTTCCCTATTTTAGAAGGTCTGAATTTTACAATGTCGAATTTCTGCAAAAAACAATAGATTTTTCCTCTGACTGTACTTTTGGGAAATTTTGTTAGCCAACCTAAACATTATTTTAGTCAATTATTCTTAAAACAACTGGGTAGCTGATGAGTAATTATAGTACTAGCCTGGTAATCAGGGGTTAACAATTTGTTCCTGGGAAAATTATCCTTTAAATTATTCAAACTCAACTTATCTATCCTTGATCTTTGGGATTTTAACAAATTATTCTAAAACAAGTGTAAATTAACACAGTAATAGAAAATTTCTCAAGTCACAAAATCTGTTCTTTTATTTTATAATTTAAAAAATTAGACGAATCCTCATTAAAGGTCAAACTGGTTTGTTTCAATGAATAGATTTTCCTTATCCGTAGCCTTCAGGATGGCTTAGACGGAGGCAACAACTGACCTACACCTGAATACATAAACAGCTTTTGTTTTACACAAAAGCACAAGTGCAGGGTCAGGAATTAACCCTATCCTAGACCATCCTCGAAATCCAACCAGTAAACAAGCTAAAAAATAACTTATTAGATTGACCTTGTTTCTGTTCAATCTATTCGCTAATAACAAATTACATTTGAATCAAAACTAAAAAATAGAGCACTGAGTTTGTATTTCAAATACAATTTTAATAAACAGCCTGCTTGAACCTAACTTGCACAAGGTCTTGAAAATGTAAGGTCCTATTTAAAATATAATAACAGTAATAAAATCATAAACAAGTTTTTTATAATGAAAACTATGACAGTTTTATGAAAAGGAAAAATATAATGTAATTTACATATTTACTCATCAGTCAAAACACTTTGAGAGTTTAAAGTTATTAAAATTCCATTAATCTTAAACGTAATATTATTTTTAAGTTAAAAATAGAGTAGGGGCCTAGAGTAATTTTTAACAGGAAAAATTTTAACAAAATTGCTTTGCTCATGCTTTTTATGATCAGGTATTGTAAAACCAAATTTTTCTTTACAACACTAAAAATTCTATTTAATTAAAAGTTTAATTGTTAATATAATTAATAGTTTAAATTTAATAATTAATTTTTTACATTGATGTACAGTATTTTGAAGCTATTCAAACATAGCATTCGACTAAGAATGTCCTTGAGTAGTATTTTCAATGTGTGAGAAGTCACGGACGGTTAAATTCACCTTCCGTTTACAGCAACCATTAAAAGCCGTAAGTACCATGGGGAGAAACTAACGAGATAGCTAAAAGTATGTCATGGTGTCTACAATCATGAGTCAAATATAGTGATGGCCAATATTATCTAGGTACATTTTTGGTAAAACCAGGTTTTTGAGGTTGTTTTAAAATTTTGGATACACCTCACAAATTTAGTACGAGTCATATTTTAACTTTGAAAGTGGTTAAAGAAATAGATGATGTGTACAAGTGTTATATGTTAAAACTATTGTAGATTTTTTCTTAATGTACTACGATAGTTTTTTTGGTCTAGATTTATTTAGCGTACATTGTTCAAAATTTTAGGATGAAAAGTCTGGAGAAGAGGGGTAGATATTAAATAAATAAATATATATTTTAAGGGTTAACGGTATTTTTCAAAAAGGAAGCCTAACATAAAGGTTTAAGTGACTTTAAAATATTATTGGTTTGTAAAGTTAATTCCTATGAGTATGACAGTCGGGCTTGACCTGACCATGTGAGTCTTGCCAAAAGTTCACTTTTTCACAGAACATTCACTCAGTAGATACTAGATAATCATATTAGAACTCAATGCAGCATAGAACTATGCCAATAAAAACAATACTGTAATCAAAAGGATTCAAGGCCAAGCATTAAAGCATCTTATCCCCATTCAAAACTGAGCAATTGTAGCAAACAAAACCTGTCAACAGTAATCTATTATCCGCACAACCTTGGTCTAACCTTGAAACATACTTGTTTGCTCATGGGTGATTAACAACTGATGAATTAACAAGGTTAAAAATAAGTCCGTAATTGGTACAATTAGAAATAACGAATCATAGAGAATGATTAGTTAAATTTTGAGGTTGGATTGCTTCTGGATTATATAGTAAATCATGATTCAGCTGATTAGGAACCAGTCACAATGAGATTTAAATACTGTAATTGAGGACATAAAGCTGCGTGGAATCATCGTGATTGTGGATTTGCTAGATCTTTTATTGCCATCAAGGACGTTTTCTTTTATTCTTTTGCTCTTTATTAGTGTTGCAAGCGTTACCCTGGTGTTTCTTACAAGATTGTAGTTTTAATTATTATACTTTTTAGTTTACTATAATTAATTATTGTACCTAGTATAGTTGCAATGCTACTGAAACACCATGCCACAAACAAGATAATTAATCTCTAAGAGACACTGTAGAGCAGCAATAAAATACAAAGATTGAACCAATTATAGATATAATTACTTCAAAAAGCAGAGGGATTAAAATGTTTTTCAGCGAATTCCGCGTAAACATTGCTGAAAACCGTTAAATTTAGTACTTTACTAAAATAAAATTGATGTGTTTGTTTCACTAATGAATTAATTCTAATTAAATATGTTTCCTAATAGCCTATATGGAATTGATTTACGATTGATACCTGGTTGAACAGCTAATTATTCTTTTCTTAGATAACAATCAGCGGATTTTATCATTTTCACTCATAACTTCTTCGGGTGAATAAATACCAATTGTAAGTATGGTACAGCCTTAGAATAAAAAAAATAAATCTTAGTTATTATGAAGGTCATTCGACAGTTATGCTTTAATTTTTAATTTTAATCATTTATGACTCTACATTTAAATTACTTTTTACTACAACATAGACTTGAGTAAACTGTAAAATTGGGTCAATTTGTATATTCAAATGCTTACGATCTCAGTTGTCAATCACTTATCAGTGTTATCAACCATTGTTTACACAGGCATCATGGTAGAATTATCTTCTGTATTTTGACAGCAAAATAATAGCACAAGGTGAAAT